TGCCAATCGGCACTGGTTCGGCACTTGCTGGGCACGGGTGCGCACCGGTGCCAACCAGTGCCAGTGACCGATGGCATGCCATGCGCACCGGTGCGCACTGGCAGTGCCGCACTGATTTTTACCAGTGTCGCACTGGAATTTTTTTTATAGGGAATGTTTTTGTTTCAAGATGATTATTATTCATCATTTATTTCATTCATTCGATAGTCTGTCCACCTGAATTTCAACTAAATAATCTTTACAGTAATTTTCGAAGATATCAGTCTCTTTCTCCGTAAATGAGTGGTGTTCATTTATTCTTTTTCGATTACGAACCTTGACAACTTTAGATTTTGTTTCACATAGTATTTGGTTACTTAACTTTTCACGTATTGTACATTTTCTTATTTTACTTTCAGACAGTTATGTCCAAACATTCTAAAGAGAAGCGTAAAAAAAAACATCATCATCCTCGTAAGAAAATAGAACGTAATCGTCGTTCTCGAACTCACTCATCATCTTCTCCATCATCAGAATCTCGTTCATCATCGCACTCAGCTGATCAAGATGAATATTATGAGCAAAGTCGTGAAACAATACCAACTGGCGGAAAAACCATGGCACAGATTGAAATTGAAAGAGAAAAAATTCGTTTAGAAAAAAAGTAGCTGACTTGTTTGTTTTATCGTGTCATAAATCATAATTTTACCATTTTGTTTGTTTATTTTTAGAAAACAACGTGCATTGGTAAAAAGTATAGAAACACCACAAGAAAAACGTTTGAGACGTTTAGCAAAAAAAATGGAAAAAGAACGAAGGCGAAAATCAGAATTAGGTTGGGGTGAAGAACATATGGTAAAGTTTTGTTTTACTTTTTCTAATAAATAATATTTGTCTGATCTTTCTTGTTTAGGGTATGAATAATACAAATAATCCATTTGGTGATGATAAACTATTAGAAAATTTTGTTTGGAAAAAGAAATTGGACCGTCAGGGTTACACAAATTTACCTGTTGATCAGTTAAATAGTATGACAAGACAAAGAGTGGAAGAAAATAAAGTATGTTTTACGGAAATAATCTTCGTTTTAGTTTTCTATTAGAGGCAACGAAGTGTTCGTGTAGATGATGGAACCGCAGAAAAAAGATTGAGAATGAGTTGTAGTGATCTTCTCTCTATATTTCTGCAGGTTACAACTATAGAATTTATTTGTGTATTGTTTTATTTTAGTCTGAACTTGAAAAACTAAAACGTCAACGTTTAGAACGTGAACGTCAAAAAGAAGAAACGGACAAAGAAAAAGAATTTCTACAACGTTTAAAAGAAGCTGAGTATTATCGAGAATGGGAAAAACAAGAAGACTCGGTATGTCAATAGTTTTTATTTTTCTACAAGTATGACACTTGTCATTTTTTCTGCCTAATATTGATCACATTCGGTATGACAAGTGTTTTTCTATTGGTATAGTTAAATATATCAAAAAATATGGGATAATGCAATGTAAAACGGGTATTTGAATCTCTCTCTATGAAACATATGATCGTTTGTTTTTTTTTGTTTTAGTTTCATTTTAATCAAGTTAAACTACGTTCAAATATTCGTATTTCTGATGGTCGTGCAAAACCTATTGATTTATTAGCACGTTACATTTCTGAAGAAGATGATCAAGATTTATCAGTAGAACTGCATGAACCATCAACTTATCTCAATGGTTTAACTATTCGTGATTTAGAAGATTTATTGGCTGATATACGAGTCTATACTGAATTAGAAACTCAATCACAACGACATTATGATAAACAATATTGGTTTGATATTACGTTGATTACAGAAGATGAATTACAAAAATTAAAAAAATTACAAAATTTGCAAAATGATGTTGGTGATCGACGAGAAGGAATTAATCAGGCTGTATTGACTGGTAAATATCATTCACTGTGTATAATAATTTCAATAATTTTGTGATTATTAAGTTTTTTGAAATTTATTCTAGATGTGAATCAAACATTTAAAAATAAAACTCATCAACAATTAGAACAGTTAGAACAACGAATAAAAACAAAAATAGAAACAGAAAAACAAATTGATATTGGCTATTGGGAATCGTTATTAGCTCAATTGCAAGCACATATGGCACATGCACGATTAAAAGATCGACATCAGTTAAATTTACGTAAAAAATTACAACAAATTAAAGAAGAACAAGGCATATTCGCTGTTCCACAACAACCTCCATCAAAACCTCTATTTCCTTCAGTCGTAGTTGAATCCGTGCGATTAAAACGAGAGCAAGAAGATGATGATGAGAAAGATGAGAAAGAACGAATGGATACAGATTATCAGCAACAAGATGATGACAAAGAAACAATATGTATCAACGATTATGAGCTGGGAAACTATAGTCCGCAATTGTTGACACAAGCTGATTTAGATCTTGAACAATATATTGATGATGAAATGGTCGATAAAGATAAATTAGAACGACAACGACAAGAAGTTAGAAAAACAGGAGCTATTAAAGTATGTCAAGGATCTCATTTGATTGATAGAATTCTTCATTTTTTATTTTATTTTAGCCTGACGTTGAAGATGCATTTGAAAAATTTGCTCGTGATATGGGAAGTTTAACGAATGATGATACCTCGATTAATGGTGTGGTACCATTAGATATTCAGTATCTATGGTCAGATAAATATCGGCCAAGAAAGCCAAGATTTTTCAATAAAGTTCATACTGTACGTATAAGTGTGCTTCGCTTTATATAAAAAAATAAAAAATAAACTGTTGAATTGGATTATTTTTCTAGGGTTATGACTGGAATCAATATAATAAAAAACATTATGATACTGACAATCCGCCACCAAAAACTGTTCAAGGTTACAAATTCAATATATTTTATCCTGATCTTATTGATAAAGCGCAAACCCCATCCTATGATCTAGTAAGTAAAGTAAACAAACGATCTATCCATATTGAATTTAAATGATTGTTCTCTCTTTTTAGACAGTATGTGAGGATAATCGCGAATTTGCTATTCTAAAATTTCATGCTGGACCACCGTATGAGGTATGTATGTGTTGATTTTGGCCCACTGCTTTTCGACTTAATTTTTGATCAGATTTTGTAGAGAACGATTTTACACATTTTTAAGTGCATATAACCTTATGGAGACATTTTAAATTAACTTTTCTAAGGAGGTATATAAAGCATATCGGTGTGTAACAAAAACGATTCTGTTCAAAATCTAATATGAAGTTACGGTAAAAGCTTGATAAAGAAAGACATCCAATGAAAAACTGAACAAAGTAGTGCATGGACCATAGCCAGCCACTGTATATTTAAGAAGAAATGGTTTATTTTCGAACATTCCCTATCGAGTGGTCATCCTTCGGCAATCATTTTCCCCCATTTTAACCCATAAATAGGAGAGGATGCAACTAGTCTTTAGTAAACATGTGTCTGAGTAACTTTACATTTTGCCAAAATCAGTATCTGATTTTTGTACTCCACAAGTTTAAAATGTATTATTTTCTTATTCACAGCAATCGAAATCCCCAAAAAAGGTAGCAGTTACGAACAGCTCATGTTTCCTAGAATTTTCTTTCTGAAATTTTAGTATTTTTAGTATCTTTTAGAAATTTTAGTACTATTTTCTCCTACTATCATATGTTAATGTTGTTTATTTTCTTTTTTTTAGGATATTGCCTTTAAAATTGTTAGTAAAGAATGGGATTATTCATATAAACATGGTTTTCGTTGTCAGTTTCAAAATGGTATTTTTCAATTATGGTTTCATTTTAGAAAATGGAAATATCGTCGATAAACTGTACTATCCTTTATTCTTCTTATTATGTATGTATTTGACTTATAAGTGCTATATTAAAACAAAACGTTTAGTGTTTTGTATTCTCTGTGCAATTTTTGTGTAATAAATATAAGTGTGCTATTTTTTACAAATTTTATATTATTCTTTTTTCTTACGCTCATTCAAATGAAAGTTGGAAGACTAAAACTTTTCTCAAATGTAGCAACTTCTTGGCAGAGATTTTTATTTGTTTTTCTCTTTAACTTTTAGATAAATTTTCTTAGAAATCATTTCTAAGGAGTTTTTTTATGAAACTTTTCATTGATAATAGTCGATTCATTTCCTATCTGACTAGTCGAACTGATACAGTGATTAATAATGCAGCTTCACTTTGCCTTAAATACATTGCAAAAAAAAGCGCAATTAATAATTACCCGTGCAAAATAAATTTGAGAGTGAAATATTCGAAATGCACTTAGACTAACACCAGTGATTTGAATGTTAAAACACTAAAAAAAGAAAAACGTATAAGAATCACAAAAGAAAGTACTTTTTTCCTTTGGCTATTAGAACATAACACAAATTTACCTGTTGATCAATTTAGAACATGAACGCCAAAAAGAAGAAACGGACAAAGAAAAAGAATTTCTACAACGTTTAAAAGAAGCTGAGTATTATCGAGAATGGGAAAAACAAGAAGACTCGGTATGTCAATAGTTTTTATTTTTCTACAAGTATGACACTTGTCATTTTTTCTGCCTAATATTGATCACATTCGGTATGACAAGTGTTTTTCTATTGGTATAGTTAAATATATCAAAAAATATGGGATAATGCAATGTAAAACGGGTATTTGAATCTCTCTCTATGAAACATATGATCGTTTGTTTTTTTTTGTTTTAGTTTCATTTTAATCAAGTTAAACTACGTTCAAATATTCGTATTTCTGATGGTCGTGCAAAACCTATTGATTTATTAGCACGTTACATTTCTGAAGAAGATGATCAAGATTTATCAGTAGAACTGCATGAACCATCAACTTATCTCAATGGTTTAACTATTCGTCAAATAGAATACAATTAATTAAAAATATTTCCGTAGAGTTCGTCATTAAGTAGAATCATTTTATCTTATCGAGCAAGGCAAAACTCGATGAAAATGAGAAAAATAAAAAGAATAAAATCAAACTTCTAGTTTAAATATATTAGAAGAATGAGTGTGAGAAACAACATCTGTACTGAAGTTTAATGTCATAAGTTTCCTCAACGAGTTTTTAAAATCAATTTGAAAGATCCTAGAGAGCAGACATCGATGTTAAAAAGCTTTATTGACTTAGAAGAAATTGTTCTATTTTTAACATGACTTAAAATAGAGTGATAAAAACTCTTCACAAAATAAGCTATTAAAGAGTTGTCAATGAATAGTGTCTAATGACAAAGATACATACATTATTCTCTACTTGTCTTTGGGGAGAAAAATACGCACGACTGCGATAAAACTAATAGGGAAGAAAGAAAAAATTTGTTATTTTCTCAAGTAAAAGACAAGTAAAAGAATAATATGTGTATCTTTGTAATTAAACATTATTCATTGACAACTCTTTAATAGCTTATTTTGTGAAGAGTTTTTATCACTCTACTTTGAGTCATGTTAAAAACAGAACAATTTCCAGGTCAATAAAGCTTTTTAACATCGATGTCTGCTCTCTAGGATCTTTCAAATTGATTTTAGAAACTCGTAAATGATATGAGAAGAAGCGCTAATTCTTGCCAACACTACAGATGAATAGGGTTACTATCAAATTCATTATACTACACACTCCTGTTCGAAATAATTCTTAACAGACATAATGTTTGTATTCTTCCTGTTTTCAAATCCGATATTTGAGAACTCTTTCATTAATATGTAATTCTATATGTGTACACTCATATCTGAAATCAACATGTCTTGAGATCGAAAATTGATTTCTTAAAACTGAACTACAATTTACAGTAAAGAAATTTCATTGATAATTCAGAGTGTGAGTGAAGTGACGAGAAAACTATAGAACACTTTTCTCTCGTGATTAGCTTAGTATATCCCGAAGAAGAAAATAAAAGAGTGGCCACTATTCAACAAACCACATTTTTACAACTTCTCTTTTCTCGTTTTGCACGTTACAGTTAGCTATAGATATACATTACATTCTATATTATTTTTATGTTTATTTGAATGATGCTCGATAACCATATTTCCCTTTAAAATCGAATAATACTTGTTTCTTTCTCTCCTGATTTGTACCGTCCTACTGGTATTTATTATGCACCTATGTTTTTTAGCTGTATTTAATCTCTTAATCTATTTTTTCTTCCCTTCACACAAAATGGCTTTAATGGGTCAGCAGAATCGTTGTCCTTAGACGTTTTCTTCTCTCTCTTTCTCTAAATGAAAAAACCTTACAAGAGAACCGATTTAGCTGTCAAATCATTTTTTCAATGAGACCTAATGGATTATAGGTTATCGACTATGCTAACTCCGAATATGGCCATGGCAGTTGCCTATAGATCTCCAAAGACTGGTTTTCTGGAAAACTAGTTTTTAGAAACTCTAAAAAATAATCAAAGCCTTTCTTAATAAAGCATAATTATAGCCCATGCATTTCTGATTAAAATAAGACATCTCCCCGCTCTACATGACCTTTTTTTGTAAAGTTGTAGAATTTACAAGAAAAGCCCTAAAAAATGTTGATTATCGGCTCAAAGCTACAGAAATAAGAAATTAATTTAGGGCTTTTCTTGTAAATTCTACAACTTTACAAAGAAAGGTCGTGTAGAGCGGGGAGATGTCTTATTTTAATCAGAAATGCATGGGCTATAATTATGCTTTATTAAGAAAGACTTTGATTATTTTTTACAGTTTCTGAAAAACTAGTTTTCCAGAAAACCAGTTTCTGGAGATCTATAGGCTACTGCCATGGCCATATTCGGAATTAGCATAGTCGATAACCTATAATCCACTAGGTCTTATTGAAAAAACAATTTGGCAGTTAAATCGGTTCCCTCGTTAGTGATCTCAAAATGTTCTTCTAAACGAGATAAATAATTATAATTAAAACGAATTTGACAAATACTAATCCAACCGTCAATGTTTATTATCCACTAATTAGAGTAGTAAAATATTTCGATTGCACTTTATTCTATATATCTGCATTTATCCTCAGTGGATGTTTTAAATGTGTTCAAATATGTAGAATTTTGATCTTTTGGTGTGTTTTATCTATATTTATAGACATTTATGATTGAGTCAAGAATAAATACGTCAACTTAATGATAGTATACACACTATGTCAACATTATTTTCCTCTAGTCCGTTGGCTTGATATTTTTCTTTTTTATGTTATTTCAGATCGTTATTCTAGTATATTCTTCCTCTAAAAATGGTTTGTGTTCCGTGTATATTTATTGGCATCGGTATTTATGTATGGTATAAATTTATTGAACCGTATGTAAGACCATTGTATAATCAGTTAGTAATAAAATTTCCATTTATAAAACCTTATGGAGATTTTCTTGGTGAAAAAATAGGACAAGCATGTCAAAAATTAGAACAATTTGGTGAAAAAATTGGTATTCGTATGCCACAATCATGTCCAAGACCGCAAGCAAATAAACAAAAAACAAAAACAGTAAATATATATATATATATTTATATACTTTCAAGAGCCTTTTTTTGTGACTAAATGAATGACATATTTCGTTTCTTTTTTGAAGGATTTAAATGATACTGGTAATGATAATCGTGGAAGTAAATTATATCCCCCTCTGGATGAAACTTCAACAAGTCAACTTCATCAGCGAACACCATCAGCACCACCACCTCCTTATACAGTTGACTAAACGAACAGATAATACAAAAAAAACAGATGACATTTTTCTCTCCTCCTTCCTCTCTCTATTGTTTATTCTATTTATTCAAGAATTTACGCCAATGGTTCTCTTTTTCTAATGTTGTACAATATGTGTTTTTTTAAGTTTCTTAAAACAGAAACAAATTAGTTTAAATTTCATAAAAATGAGGAGTAAATGGGTATTCAGAGTAATCGTTAATTTTGACTAATGCTTTAATAATTTGGTTTATATCTCTAAAACTAATATTTAAGAAAAAGTAATTTTTACTGCGAAAATTTTGACTGTCGAACGTTATCTATTGTTCACACTCTATTTCTTGAATGTTCGTTCGTTTCATTTTTATTATTTACACATTTGAGAAGCAGATCATAACAAACAAATTAATAACTTTTAATGAGTGTTAACTCTCGATGGAAAAAATTTATTCCACCAATATCTTGGATTAACAATATGAATTACCGTTTCATTTTGATTTTCATCACTGGCATGTTCTCTCGTACTATATGCGTGTTTTCCTGTTGTTATATCACCTTCATCATCATTGATATATCCATCAAATGATTTATGTACAAATGTACCTAAACCATCTGGCAAACCTTGAATATGTTCGAAGAAAAAGGCATTGATTTGACCACCCAATATTAAAATAGTAGCAAAATAATAAAAGAATAATAAGAGTATAACGGCAAAACCGATTGAACCAGCATAATTTGTCATAAATTTACGAACGTATAAAGGAAATAAGATTAAAAATAATTCTAATGCAATAGCGGCTACGAGTGAACCACACCTTCAACGAAGAAATATGTACATTTAGCATAGACGCGAATGATAGAAAATACTTTTTAAAATATCAATATTTTTGAAATCTAAAGCAGATTTTAATCACTTACCATGTTTGTTTAAATGTCATTTTTTTATGTGGTATAATAAAATAAATAGTTTCAAATAGAACAAATGAGATTAGTAAACTTGTTACTAAACCGGCCAAGTATGTTCCGAAACGACTGCTACTAGCTTTCACTAATCCGAGTAGAAATGATGGTGCTGATGATGCGGCTATCATTAATGGTATTAAAATAATAAATAAAAATAACATTCCTAATGCGAGTAAATTTTGTTTCAAAAATGTACGTTCTTGTAAACGATAAATAATTGTCATACACCGATCAATAGCCAAAAAGAGTCGTGAACTACCGAATATGGCAAAAATAATACCAACAGCTAATATGAAACCGGCATCGTGATACAATCGTGTAAATGCTAAACCAACAACTTGTTCTAATGCTTCTCTTGTGGTATTATCAGGAAATGAATTTACAATTTTTTTCTTAATTGTATCTTGAAAATTAGAATACTTACCTAAAAATACAGCAGACAAAGAATTTTATACATGATTTTAATACAAGATAAGTAGCAGACCACCTAGGGACAATGTTTTTTTTAGAAATAATTTTATGTTTTAGTAAATTTTACTGATGAAAAAAAGCGGTAAAGATGATAAACCATGATTCAAACATCCTCAAAATGAGTCATACGCATATAATCCTTTAGTCTCTTATCTATTCCTATTACATTACTCATTATTGATTTTTACCTAAAATTATGGCTAATATTCCGAATAATGCCACGGCAATGGGTAATAAAGCAATTAATAAATTATAGGCTAACATAGCAGCCAAATCCAATGACCAATCGTGCATAAATTTACTAAAAAATTGCCGATAGGGTTTTGTTTCTCGTCTAGCCACTTGAAATAATTTTGTATCGTTCAGCGTTGATGTCAAATCATTCATTATTGTTGGCAATAATTTTGAATAAATAATATATTGTTTATGTACTGTATATAAATAAAAATTTACAAGAAATTATATTAGAACGTGTTATACCGTACTATACTTCTTTTCTCTTCAATTTATTTTCTTATTATCAACGCCTTGTCCGCACAAAAAAATAGAAATATATCAGATAGATAACTATTTTATAAGAAACAGAATAAGATATTTATATACAGAGGGAAAAAGAAAAACAGCGAAAACAAAGAATTAATACATATATTATTTTTCTACGTGGTAGTTCTTAAGGATGATGATGATAAAACACTCAACAAACCTGAACTCTTTCGTTGGACCATCGAAAGTCATGTGAGTGAAATATGCTGTTTGGTATTTTGTTTTTCTTCTTTTATTTATCATTTGTATCGAGAGCGAGAGAAAAAAAGAAGAAATTAATATTACATATAGAGATACCATTATCGTATATAAACGACTACTTATCAGTCTCTCTAATTCACTAGATACAAGATAACATTTTGCCAGATTACAGATGGCGAGGTATTATGATAATTGAATTGACTTTTAACAGAAATTTTCAATTTCAATATGCAGTTAACCTATTAAAAAAATTATTTCAATGGTAAATACTTTAATTGATGGTAACTTGTTTTAATGATTTTTGCCAGGAAAAGACAGTCCTTCTTTGAATTTTTGACTTTTCGTCAGATTTTTCTCTATTACTTTTTGGCGCAGAACTTGAACTTGAAAGTTTATTTTATGCCCAAGAAAACATCTCGTAACTAAGGAAAGCACAAAAAAGCTAAAGGCTTGTAAATACAGTGCCACCACGCGGAAAAGAGAACAACCACGAGAAGAGAATATAGAAGAGAACACAATACATTTATATGGGCAGATGAGCGCATAATGCTCGTTTGAAAGTAGTAACTGTTTGACAAGATACAACAATATGTGGCACGGAATTCCAGTCAATAGCAGTACGCCTGCTGCTCACTTTCCGTAGGATCTCTTTTTACCACTTTATGTCAAAATTACATCGGAATCAACATCCCATGTCCGAAAAACCGAAAAAAGTACTGTCACCGTTCATGACTCCAGCCGTTATACCGGTAGCAAAATTAAAATGACCGCATGATAACCGCGGTCACTGTTCGGTTAATTCATAGCCACAAGTGTTCACGTTATATTGAGATCAACCCCTGTCTTATGACAGTTAAAATAAAAGAGAAATCTGGAAAATAGTAGTGCGCACTTTTTTTTAACCACTATTTTTGAGATGATTCTTGGAAGACTCAAGTTTTCAAGCTTTAGCGTTTGTCAACCTCGGATCAACTACTATATTACTTTCAATTCTTTTAAAGTAATTGGCCCTGGGATTAACTCAATTTAACATGAAAAGATAATACAAACATTGTCGATGTCGACAGAAAACAAGTAAAAGTTATGTGCACTGGTTCTATCGATGTAAAAATGGCAGTCGTGGTGCCAATAATGCGTGTGAGACTAAAGTGATACTCTCTCCATGGAGTTCAAGATATTTTTCTTCTTGGATACGTATAGATGTCGACATAAATTATCTATATTTATTCATGAACGTAGTAAACGTATGCAAAAAAAAGATGATGATCACGTGAGAGAAATTGTTTTCGGCTGTAAATATTTTCTTTTGAATGACTAGTTCAAAAACAAGAACTTAACTAAAATTAATTTCTTTAACAGCAACCTAAAATTTCACCTATTAACGTAAATAATGAGAACTTAAATAGAAGCAAAGTTGACATTTTATCAAGTGAAAATACACGTCTACAATCCTTGTATGTTGTTGTATGCGTATAATCTCATCCAGACTCAGATCATGTGACATTTTTTATCCAGTGTGACTTTAACCAAATTTTTCGCAAAAAAAGCGTTAATTTCTTATAAAAATCTGTTCTTCGGGGTCAGATTTCAACAAGGTTGACCATTCAGGACTCTATTCTTTCTTAACGACTCAATAAACTTCAAATGTTTTATGGCATTTAATAGACTTGAAAACTGTACCTGTAACTGTCGACTCGGCGATTACATAAATACAAAGAAAATTTTTATATTTTCGCCCTGAATATAAGGGCTCAGTATATATATATACTTCACATTGGCTAGATTATATTAAACAAACATATGATAAAGATGCTATCGGTATCAAAGAGACCGTTTATTTGTCTATATCTTTTATCAACTATAAACATTTTTGAATAAGTTTTAGAAATTTTGAAGAATTTTAGAAATTTTAGATAAATTTGAAACACATTTGAATAAATTTTAGTTATATTTGTGCATGATGCTTGTACTCATAAAAAGTTTAGGAGACTTTCTTCCAATAACAATGAAATCAAGTTTTGTACGAAATATTTCAACGAAACAAGCTATGGATCAAATAAAAGTTGTATTAGATAATAAAAAAGTAGTATCAAAAGATAATGAGGAAATAGTCTATTTAAATGTTGGTAATGAAAAAATGGCAACAAAACGTTCAACATTAACTTGTGTTCCAAATACATTATTAACCAAAATGTTTACAGAAAATTATCAGACATTATTGAAAGATCGTGACGGATATATTTTTCTTGACTATGATCCAACTGCTTTTAGACATGTAAGAATAAGTTTCATTGTATAATTTCTATTGAAAAAAAAAATGTTCGTTTTTTTTCTGTTTAGTTACTAAATCAATTACGACAATTGAATTCATCAGAAACACCTCTGATAATTAATCCTCCTACTGGTGATTTAACTGATACATATTTATTCATGGTAAAACAACTTGGATTCACTCAAACACAAAACAAATTACATACAATCCAATTTGATTCTAATTCTATTAATGGCAAAATAGAAGAGAATGGTTTAGTAGCATCACATGACAGTGATTGGACATGTGCAGAAATACGTAGTTTTCAAACATTCTCGTTTGGTGTTCATCATATTAAAATCAAAATTGAAAATTTATATGGTGATCTCTTTCTGGGTATTGTATCAAAAAATATGATCGAACGACATATATTCTCATTTTCAAATCGATCATTATACGGTTGGACAATTCGTGAACTATATCTAAATGGTGTTTATCATGCACATTATGGAAATTCTAGAAATGGAAACATGAAACAAAATGATATTGTAGAGATAACAATTGATTGTGAAAATAAAAAGTTTAAAATGAATAATGCTTGTCAACACCACGAAATATCAATTGATATTGAACAATGTCCATTTCCTTGGCAGTTCATTACTATGATGACAGAGTATGGCGATCGGATAAAAATTGTACAATAAAGTAATGACATAGTACATATAAACTTCAATTGTGATGACGAACAGAAAATATTTAAACTTATAATGACGTCATATGTTTTGATAATGATTTTCTCATCCTGTTTGGCTGCGTCAAGCACAGTTAATCAATTTTTATTGTGATCTCACTTAGAATGTGTTTTTCATTTGATTTATGATAAACGGTGCAGAAAAACGGAACAAAAACCAGTACACTCTATAAGCCAGAAGATTGTCTATTTTTGGCGAGACATATTGAAAAAAGTTTAAGAAGAATTTTGAAACGAATATTATTTTCCCATCGAAATTTTTTTGCTGCTAAAAATAAAAAATAAAAATCTTCGTTACGCAGATCCCACCATTTTTTACACGATCTGACTATATACTAGGGCGGGTCAAATTGTAGGGAGCAAAAAAAATCGATGTTTTACCTATCCTAGCGGTGTTCTACGGGTCGTTTTAAGAAACTTTGCCCAAGGAACTATAGCTCTATCGTGAAAATCGAGCC